TGCTGCAGAACTGCAAATTAAATGAAAATTCTACAAAGTTTTTAGTTGCCTCTGGATTTTTTAATTTTTTGTTATTTTGTTTTTTTTTTTTGTTCTAGAGAGCCAACTAAGAGTTCCCAGAGTATAATAAAAATCAGAGCAGCAAACTTTATTTTTATGACGGTACTCTCTGGCCTCTATCATAAGTATTTAATGCACCAGTCTTAGTGATCAAAAACTTTAACAAAATCATTCTATTAAATTTTGCCTAATTTTACATGTTGCCTAAAAACTGGGAAATCTTATGATTATAGAGAAAGTGATTTGGAAATGTTTATGCATATCGAGAGAAGAAATACAATATTATTTATTAAAGCCAAAGTTCATAAACGATTGTAACTTACAAGGATTGTATTCAATTGTATTGGATTGTGTCATAAGTAAACAGAAAAATGTTCTATTCTTTAAATTATTCTTTTAATCAATTCATAATAGTCTTTTTTTTTTAATTAAATCTTAAAAAAATCATAAATAAACCATATTGACTGGTGGACGGGAAATTGTATTGAATTGGATTGGATTGTATCATAAGAAAGCAGAAAAATTGTGCTTTCTTTAAATCATTCTTTTAATCAATTCATATAAAAAATCAAAAAATTAAAGCTTAAAAAAATCATTAAAAAACCATATTGTCTCTTGTCTTTTGATGGCTCTCAACCACCAATTTATCCTCATTGAAGGCCATCAAATATGTTTTGTGGTACTAATATAATACAATCTATAAATATTTCAATATTACAAAAAACATAAACAGAATCCATAAAATCGAAATTTAAATTCCTAAGAATTAATGTGTGTGTGGGGTGAGTGTTTACAACCATTTGTTTCTGCATCAGAGGTGTAAAAATACACCTAACAACCAATTAGGAAGATGCTCGAGGATGAAGTAAGCCGGGTTGCCAAGTTGCCAAGTTAACATGATGAATGCAATGAACGGGGGTCCAGGGAGATCGGGGGCATCGGGATCGTCGGTGCTTGTTAAAATTGATTGCCGGCCAGAAACTGAATAGGGCCAAAGACAAAGGCAACAACTGCTTAGGCATGTTACCTTTTTGCCGCTCGCCTAACCTGGCCCAAAGAACATTGATTTATATTTGTATTGACACTTCACCCGGACTCCTCCCCCGCCCCGTCCCCTGTTTGTTTGCCTATCGCACAAATTTGTCTTTGTCATTGTTTTACAAGCAACCTTCACCGCCTGCTCCTCCCACCCCCCGGAAAAATCAGAGGCAAATACAGAGAAAAGCTGAGGGAAATGAAGGCAAGGAAATCAGGCAAAATCGATTGGGCCAGAAGAAATAAGGGGGGACTGAAAAAGAGGCAGAGTTTCAGAAATGATTTTAAAGCTTTAGGAAAAGTGAATAAAAAGCCATACATATCTTTAAACTATAAACTATAATTATTTATGTGACTAGGTAGTATTTCTTTAGATCTTTATTTAAAATTAAATATCTAAGAATATGGTGTTTGTTTCAGGGATAAATATAGATATTTATCACATATTTTAATATAGTTCTAATAACTCAACTGAGCTTGATTTATTCCCTAAAGTGTTTGTTTTTCCCCCTCTCAAAACTATTGTGAATTCAATGAATTTCTCCAAAATTTAAATTAGGAAGCACACACACAATGGTGCAATCTGCAGAGCAGAGACAAAACACTTCAATGGACTCATTTCCGCTCGAAACTGAAATTATTTCAAAGTTGACACACGAAATTACCATTGATAAATGCCGGAAATGTGCTCCTCATTCCAATGGATCTACTGCCACTGCCACTGCCGTTCCTCGTTTTCCTGTGGTCAGAGGTTATTCAGGGCATTCCGGGGAATCCTCCTCCTTCACAATGGACATGCAAATTGGACAGGGGATGCATTGCATTGAACCTCAGTTGAATCCAAATTCGGATCGGGGGAGGAAGTGTAGTGTAGTCCAGTGTTTGTGTGGCCTGTGTTTGTTTAACTCGGTCATCAAGTCAAAACAAGGGGCGGAATGGGTTTAAAAACAACAACAAAACGAAAAAAAAGAAAACCAGGACAGCCGTATTTGATTGTGTTGAATGCAGCATGATTGGAGGTTTCCTTAAAGGACTATCAGATATATATTCATGTACATATGTCACTAACGACTTCCTGCAATTAATGTCCATGTCAGCATCATCACCAGAGGGGTATGATTTAGTTTCGGATAACCCACAAGCCACAACAATAAATGCAATTAAGTCAAATTTTTCTATTGGAACATATTACACAAATCTCTTTCCAAGGCCAAGTTCATTATACATGATAATTAAAAGCATATACTAGGGAGTCTTTATACTAGATTAGATGCCTATTAATACAATTAATAAATTAACTAATTAACCGAAAGTGTTGACACAATTTGTATTATTTGTTTATTAATAAAGTGCTTATGTTTCCACTGACCTTTTATTATCAATTAACAATGATTTTTGCAATGATTTTACCCAAAAGTGCCTTTCTCTCTCGGTGGCTGTCATCCTTGTATCCTTGAAATTGTTATTTTCCATTCTCCATCTCTGTACGCTTTCTGGCCATTTGATAGAGTGGTTTATTTTTGGTGCGCCTTCGGCGATCGATGGCACCGAGTTATTTTTGACATGTCGCCCTGTCAACGTCAACACAACGCTGACATCCAAGTGGCAGGCCAACACCTGAGACAACCAGCTGGAGTGCTCCCCCAGCTCCGCCTCCACCACGTCATCATCCTCTTCATCCTCCTCCTGCGAGTTCCTAATGCCATTTGCCATTCGAGAGACAGAGCCATCGAGTGCCTAATGATGCAAGATTTACACAACGCCAAAAAATATACAACATTTTGATTAGAAAAATCTGTTTTAAGCAAGGTCCAAGATCCTTGAATACTTACATTGCAGCTCTTGAAGTAAGGTTTTTTTCTCAATTTTGTTAAGGATTATTATCCTTTTTTTGTTGCTGTGCACCGAGTCCTGTGTTTGTTTATCTAACGAGTAAATACGATTTTAATTAAATGTAAATCACATTGTCAAGCCAAACACACACGCACTCGTACGTACAGTGACAAGAACAGCAGGCAAGCCATAAAAGTTACTCGAAAGCTGCGGGAAAGCGGATGGAAAAGTGGAAAAGTGGAAAAGGGAATGGGGAGTCGGAGTGGGAAAAACAACAGACTGCTTGCCTGCCTCCTCCCAGCTGGGTAGACGTCGGAAAAACACAAACAAAATATAGCTTTCGCATGTTACTCATACGCCCCGCTGCTCGGCAGCCCAGTAATCTCCATCTCCATCTCCAACTCCATCTTCTTTAGCATCAGCATCCAGTATGAGCCATGGCCACGAAACACCCTTGAGATTATTAATTAAAAGACAAGAAAACATAATTTCTAAATTTCCATACAAAAAGCAAAAAGAGTTGGGGGGCTCCCTGAAAAACAATGGCAAAATGGGAATTGAAATTGGATATTATTGTATGTACATACTTTGTTCTTTTTGGCGTATGTACATATGTATGTACATATGAAGAAAGCTTAGAAAAGACAAGAGTTATGAATATACATACATATGTATTTACATTCTCGTCATATTTGGTTTGCTGGATCCAACTGGAAGCGCTCTTTGAGAAATTTCAACCTTCTGATAGCAGCGCCAGTTTGTGGAAACACAAAACAGAAAGAGTTTTACATTTGCAAGAGGTTTAACATACAATACAAACAAAATAAATAGTAATATCTCAAATATGTACATATGTGTGTTTAGTTTCATCAATTCGACGTAATTCGTCTAATGAAGAATGCAACTATTTCCACTGGAGGTGCATTAAACATTTGTGCTTTTGGTGTAAAATCACACAATCACACTAAAGATGGCTTACGTTTAAACTTATTTACACTTTAGATAAAAATAATCAGTTTATACCGTTTTTAACTGCCGATGCTTTTCGTTAATTTAATCATTCAATCGTATTAGGAATTCCCCGAATATTAAGGAAGCGCATATCCAAATAGAGTTTTCTAATGTGTTTTCTTGTGTTTAAAAACATATTTTAAATGCAACATATGTTGGAAAAACACAAAAAAACTGTAACTGAAATGCTGCATTTCCCTATTACCATGCAATTACTTATAAAATATATTCCATCTTTATTTTGAACATACATAAATCTGGATTATAATTTTAATATAAAAAATATATAAATTATAAAAATCCACAAGAAAATATATAAAATTATGTACAATAAGGATCGTTCTAAATGAACGAAGCCTAACGTCCACTATTTTATTATCTCGCATTGAGTTGTTTATTTTTCTAATCAATTTTTTAATTATACAATGGGTTTATTATTATTATTTATGTTCTTTATTTACTATCACAAAATATGAAGCATATAAATATAATAAATATCATATAAATATCATACAGAATTCTCTGCAAATGTATAATATTTTATAACTATTAACGAACTATTTAAAATTTAAAGAAAAAAAGGTGTTCGTTTCCCCATTACCATTTAATAACTTATAAAATATAATAAATCTGGATTATAATTTTAGTATAAAAAATATCAAAATTATGAAAATCAAGAAGAAAATATATAAAGATAGTCACAAGAATGATGCGTTCTAAATACACTAGGACTTATGTGCACCATTTTATTCTCTTGCATTGAGCTTATTTTAAATCAACATTTTAATTATACAAACACATATATTATTATTATGTATGTTCTTTATTTACTATAACAAAATATGAAGCGTATTGGCAAATGTATCATATTTATTGCTATTAACTAACTATTTAAAATTAAAAGAAAAAAAGCTGTTTGGTTTGATGAAAACTCTGAATGCTGTTTTGCTTAATGCCTTAATGCATTACTGAATTTGTTAGCAAAACTTTTACGCGATAGTTATTATCGATAGTTGACACATGTCTGAATTTGAGCTTCCGGTATCGCCTTTGATCTATCGGTCTCTTTCTCCAAATCTTGCTAAACGAACGGACGCGTGCGCGGAAGTATAAAAATATAAAAAAGGTGAGAAATATCAAAGAAATATAAGGAAATACATAAAGGATTGAATAGCTGAAGTGTTAGTGGTATTATATGGAATATTTGTTGCTTGGATAATTGGATTCCAAACGTGGATGCCCATAGGATTCCCATCAGATTTCCATATAATCGAAAGAGTAGCCTTCGAATTCCAGGAATTCCCCCTCTAATTTTGTTAACTTTTCTCAGCGAAATAATGGCTAATCGTACGGATAAGGTAAAATCTTCCCAGAAAATCGAAGATCAAGTGTTGGCATTGACTGGTGCCATGCCGAAAATCAAGGTGAGAACCAAGACGCATAACTCGACGTGTGAACCCCACGCTACCTTCAATTCCAGCTCTATGATTCTTTTACTGCCTTGTTCTACCGCGAGGGATCGGAGATCCTCTGCACTGGAATTGACAAGGACAAGGTGGTTAGAGTATTTGACGACGAGAGCACTTTGGCTGATGAAATCAAACTCATGCAAGCGTTTGCCAATGACGATGTCGTCGAGGTCAAAATTTACGTTTATGATAGAGATGCAAAGGGGGAAGATCAGAAGGAGGATGAGCAGAAGAAGCCAGAAAATAAGGAGGAGGAGCAACTAGTGGTGGAGGTGAACCCCAGCGAGGTGGACCTAGAGGAGCTGGACTAGTGTCCCGATCAGAGAACAAAGTGAAATCCAAGAAGGAGTCTACACAATTTGCGCAATTTTCATCTTTTGCGCTCAAGAAATCAACACAAAAACATTCGAAAAATGTGTTAAATATCCATGAATAAAATAATCCACTCAACACTGTATATGTGAAGAACTTGAGTTACTTATTTCGTAATACTTATCCAAAGTTTCACTTAGAAGTGGAAGTACTTTGAACTGCGGATTTTTGACCTCTTGGTGACCCTTAAATAACCCTTCTCTGTATATATATTTATGTATATATCTCCGACAGAGATTGCCACCTGGCTGGCTGGCTGCTTGCCCATCAATTGCAAAATGACACCGGGGAAGGCAGCTCTCTCAGAGGCGTTTGAATTGATGATGCCGTTGATGGCATCGCTTGCAGGCGTTGCCAGGAAAGTCTTACGACATGTTCGTTCACCTCGACTCAAAGGAAGGATCCGGCTCTGCTGCTACATCTCCGTATCCGTATCCGTCCGTGTCTCTTGTCGTCTTTCGTCGTCACCGCTTTCATTTGCCAGCAGCAGCCACAAAAGGCATGTGCCATTGTCGTCGTTTATGCCGTCAAAGTGAAAATCCATGCGAGAAATTATATGTCAAAGTTTCACTTTTGATATGCCAAAGCATTTGCGTACAGCCCACAGAGGGGAGTGGAGAGGGATGAGGATGGAGCCGGGACCGGGACCGGGGACGAGGACGATGCTGGCCTGGCACTGCAACGCGGCACGCTCCACTGACGCACTGACAAAGACACATTTGCGGCCCACACAGCGCTGAAGATGAGCAATGGCAATGACGAAGGAGGCTGTCAGGCGGACGAGGGGGAGGAGAAGGATCAGCAGGAACAAGGGGAGAGCGGGTGATGGAATGCGGGGGGAACAGAGTGCTACCAATTACTCGAGTTACTGGGCCAGTGCAAGTCCGGGTCCGGCTTTCCTATACGGGTCCCTTTAGGTCGCTTGGCCAATGCCCTCACGCGACTTTCCTAAGGGAACCCTTTAACAGGTTTTATACCTATTTATATATATTTCCTAATCTAATTTTAACTGAATTTCTATAATTTTAGATAAGATTAAAGTAAGCTACAACATTCAGGTCTGATTGAAGGGTATTTAGTTGGAATTAACCCCTTGTCTCTGTACTTCTTTTTGCCATTGCAGTTAGCTGTGCGTTGTCCTTTGGTTTTGTCTTGCCTCTGCTGCCTTTTCCTCTTTCCACAATTTCCTTTCTCTGTTGATTTTTCCTTGGGTCTGGCGCCATGACCTGCACAATTCCAAATTTCCATTGGGAGTATATCTGATCTGATAGGAGAAACAGAACCTGAAATTATTTGAGGACTTGCGCTAAACTCTGCAAAATATGAAACTGCATTTAAAGGACCAACATATCTTGCAAGTTATTATTTGGTTTGTTAATTAAGTTGAGCTTCTTTCCCTAATTTGGTTTCCTATTTTGCAGTTTTGATGGGCATCTCAAGGGTCGAGGCTTTACCCAGCTTTTCCCTCCTTCTCTGGGTTGGAATTTTCCGGCATCTTTGGCTCCTTGGCTGGTGGCATCATTCAGAGCAATGTAATCTACCCTACTTTGAAGTTGACAACATCCTCCTCATCCTTCTCCTCCTCGTCCTCGTCCTCGTCGGTTGCGGTTGTGGCTCTGGCTCCAGCTCCGTCTCCGTTCGAAGCAAAGCTTTCCCGGACTCTGTAGCTGCATTCCGGGTTGCTGCGGCCATGGATCCCGTCCTCAATCTTCCCAGGTTGCCATTGCCTTATCAATGTTTGCGCACTTTGCTTAATTTGATTTCGCATTTGGCGGCGCTTGGGCCTTGATTGTGTTTGTACTCGCAGCTTAGCTGGCCACGCTGGCAGCCGCATTGAGTGGCCTGGTCACACTGCTCCGCAAATTGAACGACCATTCTGCCCGGGGGAGGGAAGGCTTCTCCTTTCAAGCAATCACTATTATTGGGATTTGAACTTGAAACGAAGACGATAAACTGTGCTCCTCTGGGAAGTTTAGGGTCCTTCAATGGATTGGTTTGTTTCTTATTTTCGAAAATATTCAGAAGAAAGTATGCCAAACTTTTAAGTGAATCAGTTTCTTTTCGCCTTAGGTACTTATTTTCTTGAAAATGAAATGTAGAACCCCAAGATTGATGTCGAATCAATTGCCACCGCCGAGATTCAGATGAAAGTCTGGAACTGAAATTGGAGCTGGTCCTAGGACTCCTTCCCACTGGTAATCCTTACGGCCCCTTGACAGTCTGTAGAATTTATCGGGCTCATTAAACGCAGTGCACTCCCTTTCCTCGAATCCCTCCCCCAGACAGCTATTGGAGGGGGCAGGGATGGAATGGAATGGTTCTCTTCTCCCGGCAAACACTGACATGCAATTTATAGCCCCGACTGGTAATTGACAGACACTCGGTTACCCCCTTGCCCATCGGCTGGGTCCTTGTTGCTGCTACTCCTTCGGTTTGCTACTGCTGCTGTTTATTAATAAATTGTCACTTTGGCATCTTCTGTAGCCCGGGAAAAGGCTGCACTGGCAGGAACTAGGAACAAAGAAGGGAATACTTTGATAGGAGATGGTAAATAATATAAAAATATTGTAGCAACTTAACCTCTTTATACTGACTGTATATTTCGTTTCATAATTTTCTTAGATCTTTGGGGTGGAACATAATTTTCCTTCAGTGTGGCATTATAGTTGATGGCCAAGTGGGGTTAGTGGGCAATGCTAGCAGAGATGGAGGATGAACCAGCTGGAACCCATTGCCAATTAGTAGCTCATCGCCCCCCCAACATGGGGCATCCTTCGTATCTCGGGGGCCGTCTCCTTGCCTAATCCTTGTTAAGCTTCATCGAAATTGTATCATTATCATATCGAGAGCTGCCATTTTTGGCTTACACAATGAACGGGCTCTGGAGTGGGCTTCCAGTACCCAGGTTCGTCTTCGTGTTCCTTTTCCCAGCTCCAATATCCAGACACACTTGCTGTCTGCTATCTGCTCCTGCTCCTGCTCCTGCTCCTGTTCTCGCGATACCTGAGGGAAATCTCCATCGCTCTCCATCGCCCAACGTCTCAATTCAATCTGTATAATGCTCGACGGCGCTGGGCTCCAGCTTCATCTCATCTCCTCCGGCTGCAAGCTCCTCCGGCTTCGATTTTGGCGTTAACAAGTTTTCTCCTTACACTTCTTTATACTCTGCTGTCCGGAGTCCAGACTGTGGTCTGCCTGCGGAGTTCGCAGCCGCAGCTTAAGCTGCTTATTATCCCGCGGGGCTTGGTCCTGGGTCTGACTATATGTATCTCTCCTCCGCCAGCACTAATTGGATTTCTCCGAACCAACTATCTGGACTCTTATCTCCGCCCAAACTGGCCCATATACGGGCCAAAAAAAGAAATTCAATTGTCGGACTGATTAAGCTATGGCCAAGTGGCGGCGAATCTTTATTAAATTATAATAGAAATAAATTTATCAGAACGAATACATATAATTAGATATATATTTAATCATTATTTTTATTTGAAGTCAAGTGATAAAGATGATAAAACTAAGAGTCAGGCATTTAAGTTTCTTCAAACTTGTTTCCCATTTGATTCTTCAAAAATCAAATTGTTTAAGGTTAGAAAAAACTTTTGAAATGCTCCCTGAAGCAGGAACATTATCAGAAAGGATAAGTAAAGATAAATCAAATCTCAGGACCTAAGCTTCGATTTTGTTTGGAACGGAGTATATTATTGCAATATCCTTGGGCAATGGGTACCCCGAAGGGGGTCAAGGAGCAATGATGTCCTGTCTGCGACTCCGCCTCATCACTTACGGTTAATTGTGATGGCAACGGGCGCAAAAAGAGCACATAATTCATGGCACTCGGACAGCAGTTACAGCGGCCAATGCTAACAAGGACATTAATAATATCGCACGCAGACGCTCGAATGGCGCCTGGGCACAGTGAAACTTTGACTAAAAATAACTAGAAAATGTTTAGAAAATATCTGGATAGGAATTAAATACTTGAGATATCATTTGGGAGCATATAATTGCTTTTAATGGAGCTAATACACCTTAATTTAAGCTTTTACAAATGGGAAAAGAGTTGACTATATCCTTTTTGTATTATTTTTTCTGCCCGCGAATCTTCACTGTGTCAAGGCTCCACTGTGGTGGGGTGGCAAATGGCCATTGCCATGGGACGTGGTCGGGCACAAAATGCAGTTAATTAATCATTCCGAGGCAAAAGTAGTTGCGGCTTGATTTATTTTCGGCCAAAAGAACAGAGCGCGGGCAAAGTTAAAGTTTTTATCTGGCCAACTTCAGACTTTTGGGCTGGCGCACAGGCCTTGGCCAAGTTATTATTATGAAAAAAAAAAAAAAAAGGAAAACCCGCGTCAACAGGCAAGTACAGTGAAAACCGCAGCGACAGGAAGTCACTGGCAGGACTCGCAGTGGGTGTGAATTTCAGGGGGAGGAGGACTATGCAGCTATGAGTCGATTAATTAAACCACAAGCGTTTAAGCGGCAAACCGCGGGCGGTGGTGGTGTACTGAACAGCTCTGTCTGCCAAGTCGAGTTTACTTTAATTTGACTTTCCCTGCCACACCCACACTCACACTCACACACTCACACTCATACTCGTTTGCTCGCTCAAAGAGAGCGCCCGCATCCGGTGCTGTGCACGCTGCTTCTTCAACTTCCGGTCCCCACGCGGCAGAGGCAATCAAATTTCGTATTAATTATGTGCTTAACCAAACACCTCACACACACACACACACATACGCACACACTGGCACACGCACACGCCAAAAGGACACTCAAACACACACACTCTTACACACGTACACACATGCAAAAGAGGACAACATCATCAACAGGGCAAACAACAACGAAAACAAGTGAAAAGGAGCAGGAGAAACAGCCGTCGAAATGGGGCCAGATAGTGTTGATATTTAAAGCTAACAAATATTCATTTTATAGTAATTTATTAAATTTAATTGACAATTTATTCTTCAAAGGTAAATACTAAATTATAATCTCAGGCCCTTGACTAGGATATCCATATTGGGATTAAAATGGAAGTTGATCATAAGGAAATCTATAAAAGTGCTTAAATTAATTATATTAAGAAGAGTTCTTATGAATTGTTAATTCTTTTCAATTCATTTGTTTCTATTTAAACTAAAAATGCTGTAAGAAAATGTTTAAAATATTAACATCAATGCAATGTCATCAATGAAAACTTAAAAATTACCATACAATATATTTTAAATATTGTTTCCAAGCTCAAAATGTTTTCTAAACTTATTAAACCTATTACATTTGTGGAATTAAACTTAAAAATAGGGTTCATTCAAACACATTTTAATTATTTCGAAATTTTCGAATACAATTTAAAATGTTAGCATTGAAAATTTCAAAAATAACAACTCTTTTCAGAATTTTGCAAACCCAAAACCGAATAGCTCATAGCTTAGTCAAAAATGAATTAATTTTGAATCGGAAAACGTTGCTGTGTTAGTTTTGAAAGGCTTAAAAAATCAGCATATTTTGTTTTTAACTTAAGAAATTCAATTTCTTTTCTTTTTTCGAAAAACCTTCTTGACATTTGATGCTGATCAAGAATATAAATGATTTATATCCCTCACTGCGTTGCATGCTTCTGAGGGTTATTACGAATACCCTGTAAAAGGGTATCAAATGTCTTTTGCAGTATTAAAGTGTAGCTTGAACGTAGCCAAACTGTCAGCACTTCCGTTGTCGGCTCCAAAATTGTAAACTGCCAGCCTGGGGATACGTTGACGCCGACGCCGACGTCTGGCGTTGGCACAAAGATTATGCCAGAGTCCGCACCCCCTCCGCCCTCATCCTCACCCTCATACTCACCTCCTCCCGCACCCGTTGTACCCTATACCGAGAGAGGGTCAGGTCAGGGACAGGCGACAAGGCAATAATTCTTTGGTTTTCCACATTCTGCCGCCGCCGTTGTCGAAAATCTTTTTGCGGCTTATGTTACAGCATCCCAACCGAACACACACACACACACACACACACACACATCGTCCTGGCCAACCAGATGCGGGTCCAGATGGGCGGCTGTGGGCGTGTCCGCTGGGACGGGCGACACATGTTACGGGTCAGTGGCGCCGGTGCCGGTGCCGCCGGCGGCTTACACTTTTCGGTTTAGATTTTATTCATTTGCATATATGCATGCTTATGATGAGATTTATTTATTTGATTCTCGCTCGTCTCTCCCCTTTCTTTTCTTTTTTTTTTCTGGGTGGCACGATTATGGTCGGGTTAAGTTAAGGCGGCGATGTGGAATTTAAGCTAGGTGTCACACATCGACCTGGCAGCCGGATAATAAATTGTTCGTATCAGAGCCACCAAAGGAGACTGTCATAAGTGGGATATTCGCCTTTGCATCGGTAGCATTTAGGGGGATATATTATGAAATATCTCGTGTGTGTGCTTTAATCTTTAAACAAAAATAATAATCCCCATCGAATGATCAATTATCTCCATTTAATTTTAATTAATATAAACCCAACAACCGCATGCTCATTCAGTGATTAATCATATGCAAGTTCTGGAAAAATCATTATTCACAACCAGGCAATGATTGATCATTGGCAGTTGAACAAATTATTTCATGTCATTTAAATGTGTTCTTTGTGTATATCACATAATCATTTTCATTTAAAGAAGACAGTAACCCTATGCTCAAATTACCATTATCGATGAGCCAATACTTCATTTTTCCACTTTGTGGCACAGCAATTTATCGAAAATCGACTTGTGTACAGTCACGCCCAAGCACGCAACCAGGTGGCAACGCTGCGCGAATGTAAACAAAACCCTAACCTAACTTTGGCACGCAACACGCGCGCGCGATTAGCAACAATTTGTACAGCAATTAAGCTCAAGTGCAATAAAAGTTATTCGCAATGCAGCAGCGGGTACAGGAGCAGGAGGAGCACAACCAGGAGCAGGAACAGGAGCAGGAGCTGAAACTGTACAACAACGATGACAGCCACAAGTCGCACAAGTCGGCAGCGGTGGAAGCCAAAAGTTATGCACTTTTTTAAGTGAATATGATTGCATTCTAATGTCAGGCCATAAATTAGCGACTCGGACTCGGGACTCCGGGACTTGGGCACTCCGTTGGCGTGGCATGACCTCAGCTCAGCACGCGACCCACGCCGCCGCTGACAGTCAGCTCCTCCTCCTTGCCTCGCACTGCATCGCATCCCATCCCATCCCATCCCATCGCATTTCCCAGGACCGATGAGAGGAGCCCCCACTGCGCGTTACGTGACAGGAGTATGTGAAACTTTTCAACTTGAACGAAAATTTATATGCTGAAAAATATAGCGAGCGAAGCCAGTGGCACACCAACATCAACCAGCCAGCGGCCACAAAAAAAGAAGAAGGAAGGGGAAAGAATGAATGAACGCGGCCCATAAAAGAGTTTGGCAAACATAAAATACCCAGTACAGGTTTCCCCATCTTCTTTACGATCCTAGCCATAAAAGTATGGAATGGCTTCATTTGATTTCAAACTACTTGCTGCGATATGGTTGTAAAAACTATCAAAGAGATAGGGTTTGAACTGGCTGCCATTATCAGAGAAGCTCCTCGAATGTCATCACTTGAGTTGGACTTGTTGGTAAAGTTGGGGAAATGTCTGGTTGTAAATCTGCAGGACTAAATTGATTAGTGAGTTTATTTAACATTTAACATTGGTTTGCACATACCAAAATTCAGATTTGGAGCTCTTAAGGAACTCGGGTTCGTAATGTTGAGCTATATTAACAGGAAGAGGATGAGGTTAAATTGATCACAGATCAGATCTGTGACCCTCTTGCTCCTTATTATATTTTATAATGTTATTTTCCAGATATTAATTAGATCACATCCCATTATTCAGATCATTATCTCTCATAGAAACCCCTCGAAAGCTTATATACCCTATCCAACCAACCAAGCCAATCGAGGGATATCAAATACAACAAAAAGTGAAAGGGCAAAAATGTGCGAAAAATTCGCAATGCATGACTAGGCCAAGGGGGAGAGGGAGGGCGTGCGAATCCTAGTACAAGGATAAGTGCGAGACGAGGACCGGGACCAGGAACAGGATCAGGACCAGGACGAGTGCAAGTGCGAGTGCGAGAGGGTGTGATGAAGTAAAAGGTCTGCAAGTGGGGCGGCGACATTTTGTGCGGTTTCGCGTGCCACTGGAAACTTGAACGTGCTCTAGCTCCTGCTCCTGCTCCTGCTCCTGCTCCTGCTCCTCCTGGTCCTGCTCCTGCGGATCCTGCTGCAGCTTGTGGCTCCAGCACATCTGGCACTGCCAAGGCCAGAAAGGGCACGGGTGGTGGGCGTGGCACTCGCATGCCGCCCGCTCAGAAGAAGATGAAAAACTGCTGCGGATTACTACGTGGTGGTAAAAACTTTTTGACGCTTGATTTTCATGCTGATTGTAATCCTTGTGTACGAGTATTTTTTTTTGCTTTTTTGTTTGCAGTATGATTATGGACCTGCGGCTGAATGAGTCGGCAATTAAATTGAATGGCAACTATATAATTAAATTATTAAAAATTACCTTATAATGGTAATGAATTTAAGAGAATTTTCTGTATACCTACACAGAAACCCAAAAAGGGTTTACCAAGCCTGTAACTCCTGGACAATGGATTGTGGTTGCTGCAGCGAGAGTGATTCTCCTCCCAGGAGGAAAACCTGCTCCTGCTGCTGGACCCAATCTGGCGCTTTTCCCCCGAACTGCGTGTATTTAACATTTTTGATGTGGGCCCCGCAAAGAGGAGGCAAAACTAATTTATTTCCATTAGTCGGCGACGTTGGCCACGTGAAATATTTCCGCTAATTGGCATTTGACAGGCCACGCAGAGAAGATGGAGCAGCTCCCAGATTCAGGATCCGAATTCCAGGATCCAGGATGCTGAATGCTGAGTGCTGGAGACCTTGGGAAACATTTTGTAATTAATCATTTTCTGATTTGGCACTCCGGTGGGCTCTCCAGGACTCTCCGGACTCCCTGGCATTTTTCCGGCCATTTGGCGTCGCCAGCCTGGCATTTTACGCGCCGTTAAAGTTTAATCGAAAAAGTATTTTTGTGGCCAATGAAAATTCCAATAACGAAATGCCGGGACAGGCCAGGCCAGGTCAGGTCCTCAGTCCCCCAGCAAACTTCTTGACTTTTTTATGCCCCGCAGGGCAGGAGAAGTTTTCGTACGTCGCCTTCCAACCTCCACCTTTCCAGGTCACTTTTGGTTGATTAGTGAGGGAAGTGGAGTGGATGCCTCTCCGGATGCGGACATTGATGCAGCCAGCCTGCAATTGACGGACTTGGTCGTCAAATTATCTGCCTGGATGGAACTTCCGCAATGTGTTGCGTTGTGGCCATTCGCAGGAAACAGGAAAACTTTTCCCACTCCCCCCGTAATGCGCAATTAAGCAAAAATTCCACAAAACCCTCCAGCTCCAGCTTCAGCTCCGTTTCCGGATGAGATTGGAGTGGAGCATCACCTAAACGGTGGAGGCGCAAGTTAAAATGTTGAAAAATTGTGCGGCTTCACGGGTCTGAGGATGGGATCAAAGGCGGAGCAATCGCAACTTTAATTGCATGGAATCAAGGCCCAGGCCGGAGGTACATAAGTATGCGCACTAAGTTGGCCAACAATATATAGAAAAAGTTTCGGTTTATTTAGTAATAAAGTTTGCACAGGCATTTATGTAGTTCAGTTAGTAGTTGTGGAAAAGTATACATAACATTTATACAGGGAATAAATGAGGGTACTCCATCTCAAAAATAGGAAATATTACTTTTCCGATATAGATTCCTATAGTGTGTCACTGATTTTGTGTCAAAAGTGTTTTCATTCACATAAAAGCTTATTGTCTTAGCTCCTGGAATTGTTGTTACTTTATTTATGATTTGTAGAACTTCCTCTTCGAAACAAATTCAACTTGGCTTTAACGTTTTGACAGCCCATTAAAATTTGTACCTTTTTTGACACAAAATCAAATAAATTCATAGGTCTTACACTTACCTACTGCAAAAGCATATTCGAAGCTGATTTTAGCCACGATCGTACGTGGACGCCCGCAGAATGGGAGATCAGGGAGGAGGAGCCACTGCCCACCAGCAGAAGCAGCAGTCGGAACCCAAAGTGCCACCAAAGGTGGAATCGAAACCGGAAGCGGAAGCGGACGCCAAGACCACGTTACCGAATCAGCAAAAACACCACAACGAGCCACAATTGCTGGCAAACGAATATCCGAAGCTGGTGCGACGCCGATCCAAGGGAGGCAACCTAATGACAGCCATCGAGGATATTCAGCGATTGTGAGTATGAGTCGGAGAAATGAAAGAGAAAACCCTTTTTCGAATGATTAGAGGATATATTTTAGTTCTTGATATTAAATTGTGTTGTTTGAAGATAATATTCTGCATTTCATAATGCTTTCTTCACTGACAACACTCTTTGCTCGATAACAACTCACGATATGTTAGGCTGTCGCACATCCTTCACTCAATAGTAACCAATTTTGCCTCGAATTCAGGCCCACGGAGGTCATCTACCAGGAGTTTGACCGCTTGCTGAACCATGCCCAGGGCCAGATCAAGGAGGTGGCGGAGATGCCCTGCGGGAATCTGGCCAACCGACTGAAGGACTGTCTGTATCACAATCGCCAGCGCTCCTGCCAGTGCTTCTCGGCCATGGAGCAGTACCGCCAGTGTGTCCTCCGGGCCACCCAGGACCGCGTGGATGACATGGCGGCCAGGGAGCCCGTTATGATCCCGGTGGTGCCGCCACAGCCAACGCCACGTCCCGCAAATCCACCGCAGCGTTCGCATCGCAGCTGGTGGCGGCCCTGGACCTGGTTTAAGTAGCCTTTTTATCCGGTTTCCGGATCTCATATATAAACCGTAAAACCGTAGCCGAAACCGAAGCCATTGCCGAATCATCGGAGGCCTTCGGAGGAGCGGTCTCAGTCTCAGTCCGAATAAAGAAATGGCTTTATTAATTAAAAGCAGAAACTTGAATCCATTTAACTGCCGGGGCCTGGGCCGGTTCCAGGTGCTGGGAATTTCCACAGGATTCGCTCATTCCCACTCTCTCCCTCTCTGCCGCAGGACTTGGCCACAGTGTTGACTCCGGTTCGGGGAAATTGATAGTGCGCTTGTTAGTGTCTGGCTGCCTTTGTGAAAATTCAATTTACCTCGAAATTTCCTTTCAACTCACGAATTCTAAGGGAGACGGAGAGAGAGAGAGAGAGAGTCTCAGGTCCTGTTGTCAGGCTTCTGAAGAGTACATTTTTACAAGTCCTTTAGGATAGTTAGCAATGTTGCAAATATATATAGCTGTGAGTCCTGGAATTAAGTCACTGTCTATTGTTAATATTTATACAAATTGTTGAGAAGCTATTATTGTTTATTATGTATGGTAATTTCCATTTCTATTTCTAGACTTTAAACGAGGGCTTACCCAAGTCTTGCATAAGCTCCAGCGATGCGCATTTCGATATTGTGTTGCTCTTTCAATTTGTGGCTTTGCCTGTCCATCATAACCAGCTGTCACTGTGGCGGACAGGCGAGAGGTGCGCTTATGAAATGCAGATTCACATTCGCAGTCATGGGGAGATAGATGAGACTGAGGATGAGGGTGAGACTGAGGATGAGGATGAGGATGAGGATGAGGATGAGGATGAGGATGAGGATGAGGATGAGGATGCATATGCCAGCTCCAGTTGCACATTAGCCCTCAGGGGCCCTCTCTCTCTCTGTGTGTGTGTGTGTCTATTCATTCATTTAAATGTCTATATCATGTGGCCAGAAGAAGGCCAGGAGTCTAGAGTCGACGGCGGGAATGCAGAATTGCAATTTGCAATAAAAGTAAATCTGCTCTGGCGCCGAACTCTGGCTGGCTGGCTGGCTCCTTACATTGTTAGTCCTTTGGTCCTTTGCTCCTTTGCCCGACCCCGAAAACCAGCTGCTGCCGGCAAATAGCCAAGGCTCTTGACTATGTAACCATATAGAGAATCCTCAGCCTTATTTCTCTCGGTGCACCGCTGTATGTGCTTGTGCTCACGGTTTCTGGTTGAAAGCCTTTCGGGCAAGGTAAGCAAACATTAGAATTTATTAAATCCAGCTCAGGCATGCCGTACCGCCCACTCACTGCCTGGCAGAAAAACAAAACGGCAAAAAAAGAAACAGAAAATAGGGAGGAAAATTATTGCATATAAAGCTCACCTTGCTGTGTGTGTGTGTGGAGGAGCACATTCAACTTTTGGGAGGGGGTGGCCCCTCACCTCACACACGGCGGACACCAGATTCGTTTGTATTATCTCGACACACACACCAGTACACACACATCCTGGCACACACATAATCCAAGCTTGCTTTTAGCATTTGGCAAGACAAACAAAATGGCAGTCCCGAAAAAAAGGAGTTATCCTGCCGCTTCACTGACCAAAAAAGGAGGCAAGGACATCTGATCATGAACACTGATGATCGGTTTTAGGGGGTAACATAAGGATCCAAAAATAACAAGAAAAAACCTTTTCTACCGACATTTTCCACCAGAACATTTTTCATAGCATACTTTTTTGGGAGATTTTTGAAACCAACCTTAAACCCTTTCTTTCGCATTCCTTGTTAAATCTTCCGATTATTTGCTTAAGCCAGGAATCAAGGAAAATGCTAAAAGAAAGGAAATGTAAGCTGCCTCTGTATTTGAGTTATTCGTAGGATTTGCCAGGTAACATAAGTTGTTGCTTCCTCAGGAAGCAGGCGATTTATTATCGCAACTTAATCTCGCACAAAAACACGTCAAACCTAAAAATCCTTCAGCTACACCTACCCTCAATGTGTGTGTGTGTGTGTGTGCTAGTGTGTGTGTGCTGGTGTAGGTGTGCATACATTTGGTTTGCTCGCCGTTGGCTTCATAAAAAACCAACTACATGGAGTGCGCATAGCAACAACAAGGAAAAAAAACAGAAAGCGGAGAAAAACATGCAGGCAAATCACAGTGTACAGCGCGCACTCACTTCTCCTTTTTTTTGGAACCCCCTTGACAACCCCGCCCCTGAAAATTTCCATTCAGCTGCCCTTGTGTGGCAGATACACTGAGAAGAAAATTATGAGAAATGTAGGAAATTTATAACAAGAATTTCAAAACTATGTCTATCCGTAAGTCGTAAACTTCTACTTGGTAAATAAGTTAACATAAGTGGGAAGATTCCTTGTTTTAATCCATTGATTATCGAAGTTAAAGGTTATCGATGAACCCTTCTTGGTAGAAGCCAAACAGCTCGATTTATGCATAAAAATTACGTATACGCACAGGTGGAATTATACAATTACAGCATTAAGGAGTCATTTCCGACCCTATAAACCATATATATTATTGATCAGCATGAAAATCTGAATTGATTTAGCTATCTCCGACAAAAATTTAATGTCTGAAAAATTTTCGCAATTTTTTCAGGGGTAAAATATTGAAAATTGAATCATGAAAAATTGATAAAATTTGAATTTCATAAAATTCTAAATTGGGTATGCAGATTTATTAACCTAGTAAAAACTAACATGGGAAAGCTTTCCGAATTAAAATTAATACATTTTTGGCTTAGTTGTGACTTTTTTAATTTTTAATTTTCGATAAAATTGTCATATTAAAATATAGAAAAAATGGTATTATACTTTCAGTCAGAAGCTTAAAAAATATGGAAGCAGTCATTTCCGACCCTATAAATCATATATATTCTTGATCAGCATGAAAAACTGAGTCGATCTAGCTATCTTTGACAACAATTTAAGTTTTTTTAAATTTTCGCAATTTTTTAAGTGGTAAAATATTGAAAATTAAATCATGAAAAATTGATAAAAATTGGAATGTCATAAAATTCTAAATTGAGTATGCAGAGTTTTTAAACCAATAAAAACTAGTATAAAACAGCTTACCGAATTAAAATTAATGCATTTTTGGCTAAGTTGTGAGTTTTTTAATTTTTAATTTGTCGATAAAATTGTCATATTAAAATATAGATAAAATCGGTCAAAAAATGGTATTATACTTTCATTTAGAAGCTTAAAAAATGTGGAAGGAGTCATTTCCGACCCTATAAATCATATTTATTCTTGATCAGCATGAAAAACTGAGTCGATCGAGCTATCTTCGACTAAAATTTAAATTTTTAAAAATTTTCGCAATTTTTAAGGGGTAAAATATTGAAAATTGAATATTGAAAAATTGATAAAAGTTTGAATTTCATAAAATTCTAAATTGAGTACGCAGATTTATTAATCTAGTAAAAACTAACATGGAAAAGCTTTCCGAATTAAAATTTATGCATTTTTGGCTTAGTTATCAGTTTTTGAAAAATTTGATTGGTCGATAAATATCGATTTAAAGAATGCAAATATTTTAATCGAATTAATTTATTTTCAATACATGTGTTACTCATAGTTAGTTTTCGGGCTTTATAAGCCATTTGATTTATTAAAATTCATGAAAAAATAAATAAATCTTTTCGAGTGCAGTTCGTTTAGCCGTGTGTTTTCCGTTTTTGGTTTTTTTTTGTTTTTGGTAACAATTTTTCCCATTTCTCCTGCTCGCGCTCCCTTCTCCCTTCTCTGCTCCTCTCTCTACGCCTTTTTTCTATTTTTCTCGTTGTGCCATAAAGATTATTATGAAAGTATTTTGCTAAGCTTTTTGAGTTGAGATGAGATGAGATGTGTTGGGTTGGTCTGGCCTGGTCCTGGGTTGGGTTGGGGTTTGAGGTCTCGGGATCGGGGATCGGGGGTTCCAGGGGGCTTGGGGTTTTTCCAGTTTAGGTCCGGGGCTTACTGGCATCTCTGTTGCTCGCGCTATCTGGCCCAGCATCCGTCTCTGTCATGCCATTTGGCTGGCACTCTTGAGGCCTTAAGTGTGCATGCATTATGCCATGTGCAAGGACCCCGCCCCACCGCGTATAATATGCATGCATGGATAATTTATCAGGACACACACACCCACACCCACACACACACACACACACACAGCACAGGGCATGGCATGGCTTTAAATTTGATTTAAGCCACATGTCCCTGTTCCTGTCCCTGTCCCATGTCCACTTTAATTGTGTTGACCAAACTGACAGCGCAGCTCAAAGCAATTAAATGGTCTAAATCAAGCACAAATCTCAGCTGAAAAAAGAGAGAAAATGTCATTGTTTGGTTTGACAATAAGACGGGGAATTGGTAAGGGGAAATACTATAAATAAATACTATTAAATATAATTTACAAATAATATAAATCACTACATTTTAAGTCGGGGAATTAGTTTAAATTAGGTAAGAAATCAAGTCTTCACTATTCCAGTTACAATTGTGCTTTTAAAATTAATTATTCATATTTGAGTTAACATTTGAAATCCTTCCCTTAGGTGATGCTAACTGGACACGAAACCATAAATGATATAATTGTGCTGGAGTGTTAATACCAAGGACTTCACCTCATCCTGGTTCACACACACACACACGGCACTAATCCGCTATCCGGGGATTTCCAGGAACGGAACGGAAAGGACTCGAGAATATGCCTTGGCAAGGAGTAACATCCTGGCTTTGTGCCTCCCGGCATTCTCGATGTTTGTTACGCGTGTAAGTCTCTTCATGCTTTATTTTTTCGGGGGGGGGACTTTTGGTGGATGTTCCTCATCCGCCGGATGCCGGGGAAAATGGGATATGGAAATGCCTTGGCATCGGCTTGGCTACATGGAAATCGGATAGAGGCGAAATTTGTTGTTTTTATGGTGTCTTCAGCTGTCTTCTTTTCGGTGTCGGCGTTGCATAAAGTGCATTTGTCTGTTATCCCGACGAGGTTTTGTTTTGCACATCTACAGCTCCCAGCCTGGACCATTTTCCCTCCACCCACATACATATATTCGCTCAGATTTTCCCCCCATTTTCTTGCACTAGTACAGAGGGCACTTGTTTTCAACGGAATCAATTTAGCGTAAGAAGTTTCAGTTCCCAGCGCAAGTTGTTGTCATGTGCAGGGGTAAAGAGGGGGAAGGACGCAGGACTCGTCGGTCAGGAAGGGTGTGTGTGTGTGTATATGTGTGTGTGGTGCAATTATGCCAACGACAGCTGCCTGGCAGCCTCGTCGTCGTCGCTCTATTAATCAAAAGTTATACAAAAAGCCAGCGAACTTCGCCACACGACTTGCCCCGCTTTTGCCCCGCGCATTTTCCCCCCTCTCCCGACTCTCCCACATAGAGCATTTTCCCGGCAACGCTTTTCCTGTGCTCAGCTCAGCTAGCTCCCTATTCCCAGCTCGCTTTAGCCAGCTTTTGCTCCTGGCGCCGGCTTCGGCTTCAGCTTCCTCATCCTCATCCTCATCCTCATCCTGTGTGTGTGTTCTTCTTGTTGTTTGCAATTTAACTTTGCTGTGAGCGAAGGCGAAGCCTCTTCATGAGTTTGGCCCAAGCTTATGTGCGCATACACTGGGAGAAAATAGATGCCCATTTCTTACCATATATGTTGAGCATAACTCCCTTTACCTAGTATTATCTCGCAGTGCATGAGTGGCCCGCAGTGAGTAAAAACAAGATATAATATTTTATGAAAGCTTTCGCAACCACTGCCCCCTTGGCAGCCACATTGAGGCACCTCCTCCTCCCAGCTCCACCTTCATGACATCCCCCCATCCGGACTCTGGGACTCATTGCCCATAAATAAATAAAGCAGCCAAACACAATCAAAAACCAATGAAGCAGACCAGCAGCCACAAATGACAGAAGGAGCAGTCAGTTTCGACCTTATCCCCAAACCCCAACCCCAACCCCAACCCCATCATCATCGTCCTCATCATCGTCGTCCTTGTTGTGTCAGCTTTTTGTCCTCGTCCTTGGGCGACCGAAACTCTGTAACTCTGCAACTCTGTTACTGTGTTAAGTTGGAGGAGCTGAGAGCTGGGAGCTGGAAACCAGAACTCAACTTGGAGCCATAATCTGTTATATCAGCAGTTCCTACTTCCAGACCATCGGTATTGGGATCAAGGATTCCCAAGGATCCTATGTTAGGTGCTCCTCTAAAACTCCTCTCTCTCTCCAACATCAAACTCAATAATTTGGAAACGCTACAAAGTTCTTCGCTTAATTTAATTTCCAAAAGGCTTTCTCTAACTCGATTCGCGTTTATCGCTGGGCGACAACTTTTTAATTGCCAGGCGTCGTTCGCATTCCACATATGTATACATATATGTATGTATGTGTAAGGATGTCCTGGCAAAGTCCTGGCAAGTCCTAGCAAGTGTGTGTGAGTATTAATAAATAAACAGTCCCTTGAATGGGGTAACTCTGAGGAGGGGGTGACCTCCGCCAAGTAGTTCCCTGTTTTATTTAAGCTTTTTCATGTCGCCACTAATGCGCGAATAAGTGGTACTTAAAATAATACTTAAACTACTGTTAGATATTCAAAATAAAACATACTTGAGAACTTGATAAAGTTAAAGAAAATATTAACATTAATATTAAATAATAACCAAGGAATAGTAACGAAGGTCTTTGTGTTACTTTCTGTCTTACTTTGGAACCTTTTAAAGTTAATGTTCCTTTGAAATGGTTCTGTAAAGTAATTTCCTTAACATATATATAGTATATAGTATAGTATATATATATAGATTAATTTGTATATATATAGCTTCAGGATCTGCTTTAATTCGTGACGCTGCGTGATGTGCTTTTCATTTGCCCTAAACGTTTGCGCCATTTGACTTAATGAAGCTTAAAGACAATAAAACGCTTAAGCACACAACTTTGGCAAAGCCACCCTACACCCTACACCCACACACCCACAGTGTGTGTGTGTGTGTGTGTGTGTGGCACAACAACATTGTGTCAACGTCAAACGTCTTTTTCTTGCAACTTTCTGCGCTCGCGTCATAATTTCTATGAATTTTATACACTTTGATAAGCATTCCATTGGCATGCGAGGCACGTTCGCGTTCGTGGACCATCCTTACAGGACGTACCTCCCCCCTAGCAGGAAATCCCCCCCCCCCTAGGAGAATGCACTGAAAGAAATGTGTCAACTTGAGCTAATTTATGGATCTCTAGCTCTATCCATATACCGATGAGAAGGTAGTCAACAATTTGAAGAAAAACCAAGTAATTTCGCTTGGATAGAGGGAAACATCACCCCTTTTTTTTGCCAGTGTAAAAGCCACCCCTCTTTTGGCTGTTTGTTTTGTGAACTTCTGCCGCCGTCCATGTAAATCAGGCCAAGCAACAATTAAACGCGCCAAGCACGACAATACTTAGGGCTAATGGCCACGGACCAGGACTGCCCAGGACCTCGGACAATTGTTGGGTGGTGGGGAAAACGGGGTGGTGGGAAAAGGGGGAAGGTGGTCGGGGGAAAATGGCTGGTAAAAATCGAGGTGCTGGTGGCAAGCCTTTGGCGCTTCCGCTCCCATTTCCGCTCGTTGGCCGAAAAGTGTAAACAATTAAATTTTAATTAGAATTCGCATTGCTTGACATGCGACATGGAAATGGAAAATGCGAATGGAAATGGTAATGGGAATGGACATGGGGGGGGGATGCCAGCCAAATGTCAGTTGCCGGAAAAGTGGAAAAGCCACGGGAGGTGGCGGCAAAGTCTGCAACTGGAAGTCACAGTCACATTCGCACACTGAAAACCGCACTTCCGATCTCCGCCACAGGCACACAGACATTTCATTTCCGTTCTCGTCTGTTGGTTAATTTATTGGGCACCTTGCACGTCGCTCCCCCCGTGACCCCTTCTTGACCCCCCGAGGAGGTGCCGGGATTGTAAATTAAACGGCTGACAGTTAATAGAAAACCGAAAGCCTCTCATTTGGCACATTTGCGGTCGTCTCTGGGTGCCTCCTCTCTCGGTTTGATGGATTGCCGGCTTAGTTTTAGCCAGTTAACTGCCGCACTCGACAATTTATGCTACCAATTCCGGTAAGGTGTCGAGAGCCGTAAAATACGATAGCGGCAGGGAGTGCGAGTCCTGCAGGAGAGGTGCGAAGCGACGGCCTTAATGCCCAAATTGTGGCTAATGAAAATGTCTAAAATTGCTCAGATGATTTGTTGATTTACCAGGGACTGTGGGCTCTTGGCGGAGTGGCCTAACAAGGCCATAAAGATTACGGGTCAACAAAAGAGCAAATAATATACAACACCTTTTTACACACACAGGATACGAAGGACAATACTTTATTTGATGACTGTAAGCAGTAGAGTGCTTTCGAGATATACAACATATGGTTACATATATCCTTAAATGTCATAAGATTTGTATAAACCCTAAGAAAAGGCCTTTCAAGTGTTTGGTGGTGTTTTTTTGTAAGTTTATTAACAAATATAATGTAACTAATATAATAGTTGCGTGTCTTTTTGTTTCTCTTTTTCATTGAACACATTTAACATAGAGAAATATATAAGAAGGATTGCCAGGATCAGAATCAGGTGCGAGGGATGGATTTATGGATGTCTCTATTTGCTGTCGTGTGTCCTTGTGTTCCTTTAACAGCCGCCACTTTTGCCGAACACTTTAAATCCTTAGTTCCTGTGGTACTTGTGGTAGGTCTTGCGTGGAATACGACGCTGAATTGAACGCTTCAGGCTCATCAGAGCTGGCAAATCCTTTCGCAAGATCATGCCCTCGATGGCCTTGAGTCCCTTGAGGTGAGACATGGTCCAAGATTTCTTCTCTGTGGCACAGTCTGCAAAGCAAATTAATATTTTAGCCTTCTCAAATGGAAATCATTCCGTCAGGAGGAACTACTTACTCAATAAATCGTTAACCTTGATTTTCTTATAGTGTTCTGCTTTCGGCTGAACACAGAATCCTTCCTCGATATGTCCTATTGGCTTTTTGGCCTCGATCAGCGAAATGGCAATACGGGAGCCGTGCTTCTCAGCGGAGAAAACTGGATGAGCCTGAGTGCCGGCTCCGTAGAGAATGGCCAAGATTCCAGCTGGAAGGGAGAGATATAATATAGTATATATATAATATAAACAGACTATATATTTGGCATCCTCCTCCGGCTGGACTTATACTCACTAATCCACAATAGCTTGCCTAGCAACATTTTGAAAAAATAGATTTACTATCTAAAAATTTAACTAGATTTATTTTTTACTATAAACTGTTTCCTAAACTTTTTGATTCCTATTTTCTGGTTCAATCTATTTTATTTTGAAAACACTTTTTTGGTTTTTGGGAGCTGTTCACTGTAGAACGATCGAATTGGAAGTGAGGTTTTGCTGTTGGCTTCTTACACAGATCACATTTTACGTGTGCCACATAGACTAGGGCTTACTTTGATCTTAGATTTTCTCTAAAATGGGTTACTGAATGGGTTCAAAATTTTAAAGCTAAACAGTTGAAGGAGCTTCATTAAAGACAATTTAAATATATTCTACCATCCTCTTCACCTGACCTGATTTATGGGATCTTTCTTTTACGGGAACATAAAGTAGTTCAGGAACATTGATATCATCTTAATAGCACGTTACAAAAATAAGTTTGGGAAGCCAAAGTTTATACACCTTTGCAGTTTGCATTTGAATTATTGGATCATATTGGAAATCGATCATAAATAAGCCCAAAATTAGTGCATTCTTTAAATTAATTTGTAAGGATATTTTTATATGATCAAATTTTTCATAACTAAGCCAAAAAAACACTAATTTCGATTCGGAAAGCTGTCCTATGCTAGTTTTTATTAGTTTAATAAATCTGCATACTTAATTTGGAATTTTATGAAATTCATATTTTTATCAATTTTTCAATATTCAATTTTCACATTTTTAGCCCATAAAAAATTGAGAAAATTTTTCAAAAATAAATTTTTGTCGGAGAAAGCTAGATCGACTCAGTTTTTCTTGCTGATCAAGAATATATATGATTTATAGGGTCGGAAATGACTCCTTCCACAATTTTTAAGCTTCTGATTACAAGTATACTACTATTTTTTGACTCGATTTTATCTATATTTTTATATGACAAATTGTTCTACAAATTAAATCTTAAAAAACTCACAACTAAGCCAAAAATGCATTAAATTTAATTCGGAAACCTTTCCTATTCTAGTTTTAATTAGGTTTTAAAATCTGCATACTTATTAATTAATTTTTAAGAATTCAAATTTTTATCAATTTTTCAATATTCAGTTTCAATATTTTACCCCTCAAAAATTTGTGAAATTTTTGAAAAACTTAAATTTTTGCCGGATATAGCTAGATCGACTCAGTTTTTCATGCTGATGAAGAATATGTATGACTTATAGGGTCGGAAATGACTCCTTCCACATTTTTTAAGCTTCTGAATGAAAGCATAATACCATTTTTTGACCCAATTTCATCTATATTTTTATATGACAATTTTATCGACAAATTAAAAATTAAAGAGCTCACAACTAAGCCAAAAATGCATTCATTTTAATTCGTAAAGCTTTCCTATGTTAGCTTTTACTAGATTAATAAATGTGCATACTCAATTGAGAATTTTATGAAATTCAAATTTTTATCAATTTTCAATATTCAATTTTCACATTTTTACCCCTTAAAAAATTGCGAAAATTGTTCAAAAATTTAATTTTTATCGGATATAGCTAGATCGATTCAGCTTTTCATGCTGATCAAGAATATATATGGTCGGAAATTACGCCTTCCATGTTTTGTGAGCTTCTTACCTTGGCAAAGGGTATAAACTTTTTTTAAAGAACAGCGCCTTTGTAATTCAACTCTGTGGTGACTTTGTTCTGCTCTTTTTCCACCACTCTCATTTCGCTCCTCGTTCTAGTTCCACTCTCTTCGCTCTTTGCTCTCGCCACCACTGAACTTCGTTTTCACTCACGTGATCTTACCACTGCACGGCCGTTGCGAAAAGAGGAAAGCGAAAAAAAAGAACGCAATTGCGGAGTGCTGCTGTTGAAAATTGTTTTTAGTCGTGAAAAAACGTTTAATAGCATCAACTAAACTATTAAATCAGTTCAACTAAGTGCAGTTTATGCGGGGACATTGAATAAATCACCAAATATGTGAAATTTCAAAGAATAAAGACGAAATGAAAAGTGAGCGCCGCTTCTCCGTCCAATTGGTGTTGTGACTGCGTCAAATGGAATGTGAAAAAATCATAAATTGTGCAAACGCCGAAGTGAACTTGACAAATAACTTAATAAATAGCTTGTGTGATAACGAGAGAAGACGTTTTTAAAATAGTTAGCTAGTACATATCTAATTAAAGCCACTAAAACTGCAATAGAAAAACCTGAGACTCCCGGCGACAATGTGAGACAGGGAGCAGCAGCCGCCGTGCCGTCCCGTTACATACATACATACATATATGTGCGAGGAGTTGAGGCATATTTAAGTGTGTGTGTGGGTGCATAGCAAGAGAAAAAAGAAAAGGAAGGCAATAAAATTAATTGTTTTCCTACTGCGTTAGTGTGACCAGTTTTAAAAGCTTTAAATGTAACTAAAGCGTTAAGGGGGTAGACCACCCTGACATTTTTAAAAAATGTAATTTTTTTTTTTAATCAATCTTGATGCTGATATTCTTACGGTCATTTTAAGACATCGGGCTTAAAAATATCTCGTTACTTGTGGATTCTACAGCCATTAGAAGTGAGCGCTGCCGGTATACCGTAGAGTACTTTCCTTATCTTCTTTTGCGTTTTTCTCAAAACAACGTTTTTTAAAACGGTGTACATGATTTCTCAAAAACCGCCGGACCGATTCTCTTCAAATTTTTTACACAGCTTCTCTATAATGCCCTCTATGGCATGACGTAGGATTTTTTCGATATGTTTTTTTGTTTTAAAGTTATAAATTTTTAAATCAAAAATTTTGTTAAAAAAAAAATTTTTTTTTTTCAAAGTGCTCCCATTTGCTCAAAAAAAATTATTTCCAAAAACGGCTACGTCATGCTATAGCCATACTTATATAGCTTATAAAAAATTTTTGTTTTTGAATTTCGGATAACAAATGTGGTGTGCAGCATGTACACCATCCGACCATTCCCTAAAAAAAATTCGTTTTTTGACTGGCTATATCTCTGAGGTTCGTAAATATTTTTTTTTCTTTCAATAAGTATTTTTTAGTTTAACATATGTACTTTGATGTACTAATAAATAAAAAGTTGTATTCCCAATAACTTAGTCAAAATGAATTTTTGAAAAACCCTCCAAATTTCATGCGTTCAGGGTGGTCTACCCCCTTAAGGCGAACATAAAGTGCAGTGCTAAATAAATGTGAGTGTGTGTGTGTGAGAAAATTGGTGTTTTGGTGCGTTTAATTTTGCTGTTCTTTCTATTCCTTTCCATTTTTTTGTTTTCTTTTTTTAAGTGCAATGGTAATTAAGTATGTCAGAAAAGAAAGCCTGTGTGTGTTTTTTGTTTGTTTTTGTTTAAGTGTTTAATTATTGAATATATTAAATATTGTGATGTGTAAATGTGAGTGGGAAAGGAAGGAAAGATTTAAAATCACGCGAGTGGCCAGCGTTGAATATGTGCGGTGTGTAAATGAATTTTTAATTCAACAAGAAAAAGACGAAACAAAATATTAAATTCGGTGAGTGACAACTTGAGTTCATTTTATTGTTCGGCCTACGAGATTTTTATAGTTTTTCACAGGAAATATAGGAAATTTTGCTAGATTCTAGCAAATCTATCTATCTATCTATCCAATTTGAACAAATTAAAATTAAAAAATTAGAAAAAAAAATTCAATAATATTTAAAAATATATATATTTGAAAATAAGTATGCAGATTTTTAATTATACATTCATATGTTATTAATGGTACAATCAAATGTTTGACTTTCTAAAGTTGCCATGCTTTCTTTGATGGACATATAAATAACGATAACAATAAAATATAATTTTTGGCGGCACGCGTTCCCGAACAATAAAAACAAGGAAAACACAAAAAGAAATTAAGGAACTGGCCGGAAAAGGGACACCAGCCAAGTCACTTGCCGAATCAAGATGCCGTATAACAAAACAAACAACAACAAATGTGGATATTTATACATACATAAAAAAAGCAAACTTAATTTTCGACCCCCTCGAAATCGAGCATCTTGAAATAAAAAAGGACGAACTGGCAATGCCCTGCCGCAAAGAGTTGCAGGTTATCCCAGTGGACGATAACCCAAGTGGATGCCCAAGTGGATGTGGTCCGATCGGGGCAGCTTTCCCTTTAGATTCAGACGGGGGGCGCAGAGTAAATATTACGAAAATGTATTACACGGGACGGGACTTGGGCGGATAGGCGCGGCTCGGGGGGAAATGGGGAAATGGAGATGGAAATGGCAGACGTGACAAAAATGCTTAAGTGAAAAGTTACGAGCGAGCGGCGGAAATCGCTTTTTCCCTCCGGCCCCACCCTTCGACTCTTGTGTTTCCCTTTTCTTTTCTTTATTTTATTTTGCTTGTTTTCTCAGCGTAAACCCCCGAAAAAGTTCCTTCGCGCATTTCGTTTTCCTTTTTTAGCTTTGTTTTTACTCTTTCTTTTTATTTTTTGGGTTGTGTTACGTTTTTGTTTTGCTCTCGCAGCTGCTTAATATTTTCTTGTTTACGTTGGGTTTCGGGGGGTGCACTGAGAGATAAAATTGATGCTGTATAAATGATGTATAATTTAAAGTTGGATTCGATTATGCTTTATTTCCTTTTTAAAAACGCTAAATCCTTTCGTTTAACTTCTTGTTCTTCTCTTTTAAGCCATGAAATAGGCGGAGAACGATAAAGAAGTAGTACTCGGAAAATGATTTATTCGGTTAATTAAAAATATTAACATATATCTTATAAATTAAAATTCATACATCAAGTATTCTTTTGATTTATCGTCTTCAATTGTGTTTAACAATTTTGTGTAATTTCTATTAAGAATAATATTTTTTTTGTGTGCGGCCCTGGGGCCTGAAGCTGTGCGGGAGCGTTGAATGAGTGGCGCTGCTGACTGGTGGCCTCCCGTTGTTCATCATCATCCCGAGTGGGTGTCATCCTGGGCGCCTCCTGCTCCGCTGTCAAACTTTTCACGCACGCACGCTGCCGGCGAAGCGATTTCCCGGCACGGGTTGAAGACTGCACGCTGCCGGGATGCCAGGATGCTGCTAGGATGCTAGGATGCTGGGATGCTGGGATGCTAGGATGTGAGGGAAAAGGAGAGGAGCCCGCTCCAAATCGATTTCCGCTTCATTACGCCACCGCTTATGCGGCGCCCCCGAAGCAGAGCGGCGTCTTGAGCGGCG